AAAATTGCGCGGATTAAACAAAATAAACTTCGGCAGTTTCAGTAAAAATCGAAACCCCGCTTTTAGTATTTTAATTTGTAGGCGGTTTTTGCCTCGGTATAACGCGCTTTGCGGTTTAATTACCAGGGTAATTTAAAAATAAGAATTAAAATAAAGCGAGAGAGAATTTCGAATTTGATTAAATGTACTGTGGAAAAGCGTAATGATATGGAATTATTTCGTAACTTTCATAATTCGGCAAACTAATTATAAATAAACGAATAAATCGAAACAAAAATATCGCTTTCTATTAGAAATTAATTTCTCAATGTATATTTTTATCGAAGAGGTTTTCTTTTATATCTGAAAATTTGAGCTAAATAAAGCCATCTGATCCTCAGGACCAAATCGTATTACATAACATCCAATATCCAGATAAATACAACTCGTGGAAAAAATGGAAGGACACGAGATAAAAGAGATTTGAAAAGAACTCGAAGTACGATTTTATTTCTTTTAGAAAAATACAGAAATTTTAAATATATAACGATTTATATAACTTGTGTTTGAATCGTGAAATTAAAAATAAAATATTAATAAAATCTATAACAGGCGTAATCTACACATTGAAATCCAATTAAATTCTACAAGTTAAACGTTATAAATTAAAAATGAAGTTATCTGTCGTATTGCTTCTAATCGCGTCTGAAAATCACATTTGCTGCATTTAGTATCGAATGCACGCTTACAATCATGAGGAGAACGAAATTTGCGAGCAGATCGCTTTAACGTTCCGGTAAATTGGCTGTCAACAGGAATCAGAGTTCTTTCGACAGGCGGAGAGCCGTCGTCAAAGAGGCTTTTCTCCGGCTGGAAGCCGGGTCGAGAATAAAACGAGCGAGAGAACACGAACATTTCGACAAATAGGTACGTATCGTTTGTTAAAGAGTTTAACTCGCCGCATCAGCCCGTAGAAACAATGAGTCGTTCCGAGTCGGCATCGCGGTAACTGCATTCGCGCACTAGCAAAGTGCGCGAAGTGCATTTCGCTGGCGTTATCGGCGCAATTCGGGCGCCGAACACCCGCGTTCTCTCGGGAGCCGAGGGAGACGAAATACGGCCAAAATATCGTTATAGCTATTACCGCGGAACATTGAGCGGAGGGAAAGACGGGATTGGCCTACTTTTCCGCCGGCGAGAACCCTCCCCAGAGGAGCGCGGAAGAACCGACATTACTCGCGGACTTTGAAATTTCGCCTATTGGGAGACGACGCGGGGATTCCGCCGACTATGACAAATGGCCCGGCAATTTTTGCGCTTCTCGAAAAGCGCCCCTATATGATCGATTCCCGGACACCGCTGGTCGTAGCCGCGCGAATACAAGAGTCCATCGCGCAGGAAAGTCGCGCGGCGGCGGCGGCGGCGGCGGCGACGGCGGTGACGGCGTAGTCCATTCGGCATGTAGATGCGCGACGACAATGTGTCAAATACGTCTCAATAACGAATGAAAAATTGCTCTCGCGAAATCATTCGCCTGCATATATATTCCAAAGCTGATGTCCTGAGTTCATTTCTGCTAATACTACACCGTAACGAAGTTACGCGTGGAGTTCCGCGGAGCTGCATTAACCAATATTTAATTGCCTGGCAGATCAACCGAGAGTGCTTAAAATTTAAAGCGGTTGAAATTTCGCGTCGTAATTAAATCGTCCGTAAATTTTAAATATAGCAATAAAACGCGGAATGCGCAGGTGGGGCACTATTTAGAAAACTGTCCGGGAAAAACAAAAAAAAAACTTTCTAACTCCCATTTGGAGTTACATTCGCGTGATAAATTTAAACCAAACGAGATATCTCGCGATAAAATTGTTGCCGGGTTAAAAAGCAACCGTTTCTAAAAAATGTAGAAATTGCTTAAAACGCACTGCAAACTTAATACTTCGCAAAGTACATTAAATACTTTATAACATCTGTATTTTTCGTTAAGCGGAAAAAATGCGAGGGGTGCACTTTTAAAAATTTTCTCGCTAATTAAAAGCATATTTGTCTGATGCTCTCACTCGCAGGAGATGCCGCATTACGGATATTCCATAATAAAAAGAGTGGGAAAAAAAATTTAGTAGGAAACTTCTATGAAACTCGGGGCTTGTCGCGAGAGACATTAACATTAAAGGGATTTGTGGCCCGTGAGTGGGATTTCTTTGGCGGGGATTTAAACGAGCGCGCTTTGTCCGTAATTGAATTTTAAGTATCACAAAACTCGCGACACGGAGCTCACACCAATCCTTTGTTTCGCGCGGATAAATATAAATACTTGAGAATTCATTACTTCTTTTTTTTGTATTCACTGCAGAAATAAACGGAGCATCTCCGGGTTCCTCGCGCTCTCTTCTCCTCCCTTTCATCTACAGGTCCTTTGATCAATTTCTGCTCGACGACAATTTAATTGGCCGCAAAACGATATCTAATATATTACCTCAGAAATTTAAATATCGTCATAACGATATAACGGCATACAACGAGAAAAACAGAAAATATTACACGCGTGCAAACATACAAATAATTGTATGTACATGTTCACAAAGAGGAGAAACCTTCCCGCGACTCTGTTTCGCTACCAGAAAAATAAACTCGCGACCCTGATACCGAGTCCCGATAATCTTTACCCCCGATAACCGAGTCGGACTTCGCAATACCGGTGCGACTCCGGGCATAATGCGGCAAATACTTTCATCGAGCGCGTAATAGCTCGCGCGCGACCGCCGACACATAGTATGTTGTGTAGCCTCGCTCGCTCGCTCGCGAAACTTTCCAAGACGATTACTTGCTAATGGTATACCGCGCGCGCTAGCCGCGATTCTCCATTATCCGCGCAATCGGAAATCGAGTGTCCCCGGATATGCAATTACACGCGCGTATACCGTCAATTAGGCAAGTTTAATCGCTAATCGGATTATCGTTGATACGCGTTATCCCGCACCAGTGCGCCCGCTATCAGGCCGACTCTGCAAGCCAACCAGCCGGCAGATTGCGGCGGCTTGCTGGTGGCCGTTTACAGAGACGCGAACGCGCGAGCGCGCCAAAAAGTCAAGTCGAACTAATTGCCGCGACGCGATCTGCGCGTAATTACTAATTTCGTGTGTCGCATGGATGCTCGATAAATTAAATGACAGCCGCACTCCGGATAATAAATAAAGCGCGGCAAGCATCTGTATCAAGTTACGGTATCGTATTTAGCGTAACGATTGTCGTAATTATACCACGTACCACGATGTTGAGCTTAATTACTACGACATCCTGTAATTCGTAACGCGTGTCTTTCGTCGTCGCTTTGTCTTGCAAAATCGAGGTCTCACGGTGTTTCTAAAGCATCTTTAATATTTAATTTCGCTGCTATTTTCTACGATGATATTTCGCGGTATAATAGCGAGGCGATTTAATTAGCTTGGAAGTTATCAAGTTTCAAACGTCAAACAACAGAAATGAATTTCGCTTCCAAGGGCGATATTAACTTAAAATCGAAAAAAGGTCGTAATAAAATCTCTAATCATTCATCGAAATTTTCCTCGATTCCTCCGATTTTCCGAGAGAAATAAATCACCTCGATGTTATCGATTCTCGAGGAGAGTGACAACTCTCTGATATATGATGACATGATGGTATCGATACATGTATAATAATACGCTATTTTGAATACATTTTGTCACACGACTGTTTTATGAAGCGAATATTTCACAGGTAGAAAATGGAAGTCGACTTGCGTATGGATATATTCGTATCGTATTACAGCCTGTATTTATTATATAGTTGTTATATGAATCAGAAAGTATAAAATAAGAATTTAGAATAAAGTTTTATCTTAAAATATAAATAGTTTCATTGAAGATGCAGCTGAAAATATCAGCAGCAAAATGTTTCTTATTTTAACAATTCGTGTATGTAAATTAAATGTTCATAAATTAATGGTCATATCAATCCCAAAATTATATATTTGTATTTGTAGTTCGTCTTAACTCATCCATTATAAAGTAATAGAGTAAGGAATAATTATTCAAAATTTTCAATATTTCTTTGCAATGTCTCAGAACAAAAAAGTAGTAAAAAATTTTGGTATATCCATTTTTTTCTCTACAATACTCTATATACACGTTTTTCAAGAGTGAGGGTGTAACGTAATATGAAGTTAACATCCCCACTATTGATATTAATTCCTGCGAATGGACAGGAGCAATAAATTCGCGATTAAGCAATGAATTAGAACTTGATTATAGCATATATAGTCAAAGTTTTTTCTAGTGGTGAAGGTGCTAGGTTCACAGAGGTGTACTAATCACCAGAATAGAATAATCGCACGGCACACTTTGTGTCGACACTCCCGACGTTAATCAAGTGTTGCGGCACTTTACTGTTGTATATTTCAACGAAAATATAACATGAAGAAATTATACCGGAAGCTATAATTCGTTCGCCATCGCGTCGCCTGCAGGCATGACTAATGCAACGAACGATAATAGCTGTAATTGTTCGTAGAAAATAATCGCGTTTCGATGGCTACCGTGATGACACACGGAGCGGCTCGTGCCCGCTATACTCGCTCGCTCGAGTCTCGGCGCGAGAATGAAAATACAATGCGCATAGCGACCTTATACCTGCCGTAACAAACACCAAGGCCGCACATCCGACGGTAATGCCGCACAAAGTATACAACGTATTCTTAATTCCGCTAGCTAATAATGGCACGCTGTAATAACCATGAGATACAACTGCGTTTCGCAGAGATAATACGATGATACGCACGCGGCGCGGGCGGTTCGTTGCTTGTTCGCTCAGAGTTTCGCGCAACTAACTGGCCTTGTATACGCACAATGCGTGCTGTGCGCTGTAAAAACACACACTAAGATCACGAAACAAATATTCAACATTATGAAACGCACTGAGCACACTGAGTTTTTTTTTATTCCCCACATTTTAACTTGCTTTGAATAAACGAACTGTTATTATATATACTTTATGGTTCATGTTCTGGATTCATTACCATTGCCTTGCAAGATAATATAGATAATTGAGACAGAGTTTGAGAAACATTATTATGAATCTCAATTTTGACAAGAAAATGTTCTTCCATCTGATTAAGGAATGTATTTAAGTTTAAATTTGTATTCGACAGGAACTTTTGACTACTGAAATCAAATTTAAAAAAATTAATTTAAAACAAGCGTGCATTTTGCTGTCTTGTTAAATCAATATAAGAAGATTATCATCTGATATATTATGTTACAACTTATATACCTACTAATTGCGACTTCAAATAATTTTCTTTTTTAATAATATCTCGAGAGAAGATGTAGAATGACATAAAACCGTTTCGTCGCAGTCTTAAGCTCATGCAAAATCTTGAAATCTACGGAATAACATTTAATTTTAAACTTCAAAACGCGATTATCAGCGTTAAAGCGTGTTAGAAATAAGGAAACTGACACGACAAAAATAATTTCAGTTTCGCGAAGACGTTTAATCAGTTGTGCATAAAATAGCGTTATCCCAATTAAAGTCGTCGCGGAAGAGAATATACGAGAAGGCAATCAACGGTCTCACCACTTTGCGCTCGCGCATACCGAGACGAGCGAGTCATCTCGCCCTTACCGCTTTATGCATAAATGCGAATAAATTACGTGTCCGCTCCTCTTTGGCGTCGAATTGCTTACGGCCAGATCCTGTGCACCAAAGTTCGGTGTCGAGTGCAGCTCGACATTCGACCGTGAAGGATTAATATAAAGTCTCGTCTTGTCTCTCGTCCACGTTGACGCTCCTCTATTCCGTATTTGAAGATGCATTCTTGTATAATGCAGCGAGAAAGAGCTGCTCGAATGGACAAACGAAACACTATACCGGCCACTCTTTATACGAACAAGTAATTAAATGCGTGCAAATTAATGCAACGAAACGTATCTGCGTCGACGGAATTTAGCGTTGCGTTGCGTCGATACATAAGCTGTTCAATTAACTTCGTAATTGTTTGAATAGGAAGGGTAAGCAAACTTTTTCTCAGCGTGCAAAGATGTTTGTTTGCGCGGCACGAGCGAATGGTTTCGCTGCAAAAGCAAACAGAGCAAACACGGAGTGAAACATGTGGATGCAGCGGCGCAAAGGTGCGTTTGAAATGTACAAGCGTGAGCGAGCAAGATGGATATGCTGTAAAGGTGCGCTTATATCGTAAAAGCGCGATTAAACCGACGTATTCGCGTTTGTACTGCGCTACGTAAACAAGAGAGCGAACGAGTATCGGCGTACATATATATACGCGAATTGATTCGCCATAAACGTGCGTTTGCGGCATTCGAGAGCGCCGAGTGCCCGAGTGATTCCGCTGGAAAGGCATGTTACGCGAGCACGAAACGATGGAGCTGATTCGCTGTGACACGGTAGAAAACGAACGTATCCATTCGTTCGCGTTCATCCCGGCGGCGGCGTACGGGCAAACAGGCAATCGTCAAAGAAGATACGCGCGTGGCACGAATGTCGATCCCGAAACCGTGTAAAGGAACCCACCCGCTCAATACGGAATCTAAACATCGGATTCCGATGTGAATTAAATGGCTCCATCAAGTAAGCAGAGGCATTTCAATATTTCATATATTTCACTGCGATTGCCGCTCCTATATTAAGCTACACCATCATCGACTCAGTTGGATAAAATATAAAAATGTGTGTGTGTGTGTATTATACATGCATATAATACACACATATATATATCGGGTTGAATTTTCGTTTTATATTTTATTCCTTCTCGTTGTTCGTGTGTATGTACGCGAGCAACAGAAAAGAATAAAAAATAAAACAAAAATTCAGCTCGTTGTATTTGATCGATATACAGAATCGAATTACGTAATTTAAAAAATAGATATATTCGCTTAATAATATCCATTCTTATATTTCCACTTTCTGCTCACTCACCTATTTTACGCGACAGTCTATTTTACTTTTCAACTGAAACTGTCGCATTTAAAATAGACTTTTTTTCTAATTGTTTTACTTTTCGTTATACATATCGTATTTCATTCGCTCTTTATTCGTATACTTTACTTTTGTACCATATTACTTTATATATGTTCATATATGTATTCTATAGCAACGAACGAGCTCGGGAATATTGCACGGGGATCTGGTTCACTGACGCAGGAGAAATTCATCTGCAGTAGTGTAAACGTTTCTATTGCGAGCACGAGGAACAGCTGGTGCTTGCGTAAAGTGTAAACGCACCTTAAGGCCACGGTTATACTGGATGCACGTCCCGACCGAAACTCATCCGGACGAATTCATATACCAGACGTCGGAACTAATCAAATACCTACGGTGAATCAAGTCGAGATGACTTTGGACTACCTCCGAACTACCGTTCCTCCCCTGCGACTACGAATTGCGTTTTTAAAGAGATCGTTGTTGACGGCGATTCTTTGTTGTTGTCCAAATTAAAATTATTGCATCGTAAGCACTCGCAAAATTTACCGCAAATTACGCGTTTTTGTTCAGAACTTATCATCCTCCATTATTAGGTTATATATACGTATATAATGTTCGTACATATTATAATATATCCACGGTATTTAACGGGAAATGCGAAGTTTCGGGACACTCCGTATAACGCGAGATCTGATCACGTAGCGTGTAATTACCTCCACTTATCTCAACACATTTAATTAGTTCTGATCGGCAAATTCCTATGCGGGTTCACTATACCATAATCCGCAGTGTACTAATATACAACTATAATCCGTATAAAGCTACCTTTATTATTTAGAATGCCATCCTAAATCCATTTAAGGTGATGATATTCCGAAATATATAATTAAGAAGATTAATATTGGGGAAATAAGAGTTAAGATCATTAATTAAATATGTTGAAATTAATAAAAGTAATATAAATATCTCGGCGTGCAATCTATGTCTTTCAATAAATTCACCAGTCGTTCTGTGTAAAACAAGACAAACAAGAATAACAATTAATTAATTAATTAATCGATAAATTAATTATTAATTATTCCGCCGAGTGAAATATATATACACACATAGCAAGCGCAAATAATTTAGTGAGACTATAATTTTAGATGCATCTCGGTTAATTGTGTCACATTGACGTCCGCTGACAGTTAATAAAACGGTAATAAAACGGATATGATTAATACGTCCAGTTGAAATGAGGCTAATACCAACGGTTGCTATAATCGAATACTGCAAAAGTGAACGCAGGTAGATCTGGTGGAATCGTAATTATATCTCAACTTGCGGATGCAATTACAATAAATGAATCGAAATGCAGCCCCCGTCCGCGAGTTTCAATGGATTTCCCGGTAGTAGAAATTTGTCGACGTGCAAGAAACGCTCGTTGGGAATTCTCGCGTACGCGACTCTCGCGAACCGCCGCGCCGCGCGCCGTAACTGCGGCTTAAGTCGTCGAAGTGAAGACTACGACGACGACGACGTTCGGATATTACCCACGGCAAGACGCTATTACGGCCGGGCTCAACTTCCCCGCAATCCCGATCGTCGAAACGACGGCGGCGACGTGGTCGTTCACGATTCACGATCCGGCGAAGCAACGGGGCCGCATGCACGATCAAGTTTCTGGCCCGTTCGCGAGCTTGCGGTTACGTTTAGTTCACCGTACACCGGAATTATACCACGGACTCTTCTCCGTCTCCCTCCCCCCCCCTCCTCTCTCTCTGTGCTCCTATTGTCCAATGTCCGTCTGGTTCCTGCTGGAATCGCTTACGAGACTCGAATGATGCACCATTGTCGATTCAAGTAATGCCATATCTACGTTTACGTCAATTTAACCATTAACGTTTACGAGAAAATTTTTCAAATTTTTGTAATAAAAGTTTAGAGTCCGAAACTAGTAAAGGAACAATTCAATCGTAAAAACCAATCTGAATGACACATAAGTTAAACATGTGTGTGGTGTGTGTGTGAAAATTTGATTTATTCTAACATCCCACGCTTAAAATAACGCTAAATAATATTTCGTTTATCTATGAAAGCAGAAAACATAAAGTCTCAAATTATGCAGTAATACATCCACATCTAATAGCAAAGAAAATATTTGCATAAGAAAAAATAAATCTCTTTTACATACATCAAAAGAAACGTTTAAACAAAATTATCGGTTATTTAGTTTTACTCCTGCTCTTATTTTCTCAGAGTGTAATTATTGAAATAAAAATTTTAAAGTAAATACACGCTAAAGTTATATTATATAAACACCTAATCGATTGTGATTCCGATTTATAAATCTCTCTCCCTTTAAATTCGTGGCTCCAATAGTTCTGGTCACGACCATAGACGTACGCGCTTATTTCCCATCGAAAGTCTATGGTCCGTACTAACCCTTTACTCGTGCAGACCCCCTCCGGTACAGTAACTGGCGCGGTGTATCTCCAATAGGGGAAATCTGGCACGTTTCCAAACGACGCGGACGACTACGACAACGGCGACGGTTATGACGAAAATGAGATTCCTAGTTTAATGCGACGACGGGCGTAAGGCAAAGTGCTGGCCGGAAATGTCAATTGGCCGTAATCGGCAGAAAATCGATACCGCGCAACAATAATCGTAACAGTATTCGCCGACGACTATTTGTTAAAAAAAAAAAAAAAAAAAAATCTCGCGCAGTCACAGCGACAATATGATTTTTAGAAAAATAGTATAACGTGCGCCTGTGTTATCGGAGGCCGAAACGCGGCGCGTAATAACGACGGAGGAATTCCGTTCCGAATTCACATTCGCGAAATTCCGAGCACTTTTTTTTCAGAATCCGAGCGCAATGACCCTCCCTCGCTTCTCTTCGCATTGCGCCAAACAGTATCTCGCGCGATTCACGCGCGGGGCTCTCAAATAATTTCGAATTGAAATCGAGCCTGCATTTTCGGTCCGTTGTGCCGCCGCGCATTCCGATGCGTTCGCGACGAGGCGCACGCGACCCGCTTCGAGATACGCTCATTCGAACGCAAAATTTATTTCTCGATTTCGCCCCGGGTCGCGACGAGAGTCGCGAAAAGTTACGAGGGGGAATATTTGATACCGGTTGGGCGCGTGCAAGGCGTCGCCGATCGATCTAACCGGAACTCTTTTTCAGTCTTCCATCAGAGAGAGAGAGAGAGAGAGAGAGAGAGAGAGAGAGAGAGAGAGAGAGAGAGCTTATCTGTTATTATTACTCCCTCTATTATTATTGGTTTATTATTATTTTCTAAGCTTTAATGTTTTTTGCTGTAAAAGGTAGCGATAATATTACCTAACTCAAAATAGTACTAGCAGCAACGAACTACTTGTATTTCTATTGTTAGCGGAGATATTTTCTATTATAAGAGATTCTAAAAAGCCTTAATAATAGCAGAGAAAAAAAAGAGCTGCATCTTTAGCTCCGAAGCATCTTTTACTCATTGTGAAAAGCACGGTTTAGTGAAAAGATATTAAATAAAAACAATCAAAACTCCAAGGAGTTTAATAAGACCGAAGATACGCGAGTTTTAATAATGTACACAGCAAAAAAAAAGCTTTTACTTCGATTAATTTGATGTCAACGTTAACGAACTTTTTCTTCAAAGTTTAATTATCGGGACGTTTCATGCTGCAAAATTACGGACGCATAAAGCGTTCCGGCCGAGACTTTTCCCCACGCTCGTCAAGCTGAGCGTATAAGATTTCTAGTCGTAACTTCCCGCGACGTCCTACATCCGAGAGGATGTACGGGTACACCGAGTTAATTACGCGGATATAACCAGGCACGCTACTAATAAATCACTATATAATGTTTTTGTAAGGACCAATCAAGAAGGATTATTTCAGCAGACGCTCTCGTACGGGGGACTGACTCGCGTAACGCGGAACAAACTCGATTATTTATGGGCACATTAGCGACGCGAACTAACGAGGGCGTGCTCAATGAATTACTGAAATCGTATTCAGCCGGAAAACCATCTGCGGTTATGCAATGACGTTAAACAAAGCGTTAATCCTCTGATGCACTTTGGGAGTTAAAATAACCCCCTCCCTCCTGCGCGCATTGCACATAATTCACTTGTCACGCGTGCAGTTTTGGGAATATTGGGTTCATTAAGATATATAAAAGGTATCCCGGAAGACCGCTATGTAAAGATAGAAAAAAAACCAGTTCTGAACCAGTAAGTTTCCGAGTTTTGAGATAGTATTTTCGTTGCTCGTACACTGAAATCCCGCGTGGGTTCAGAAGAACCGATAAAAAACCCGATAACAATTATAGAACTTTATTTTTAGTTTAGATTTAAGCATGAAATTATTTATTTTATAACGTACGGGTTAATTTATTGCTTTAAAATAATTACTTTACATGTTATAAATGTATTCGGCATTCGAAAAGCATATTAAACTAAATGTGTGAATTATTGTGACAATTATATAAAAGTGGAAATACTCCTCGACTGCACATTATAAATTCTGAAAAATAATACTCGTATATAATTATAATAAACGCATTTCGTTACTATCAAAATTTCGCCGATATTGCGTTTAGCTATGTGTGTGCGTATTTTACGATTCTTCATTAAATGAAACTCGTTAAGAAAACTCGTTTATGCTCAATTTGACTGATTTCACCGCGTGCCGATTGGTGAAACCCATTATTCAATTATAATCAGGTGCGACCTTTCAGTGATGCGAAAACGGATAGAGCGCATCAAAGGATTAAACGAGGCACCCCCTCCCCTTCCTCCCAGGTGCGCCGAAGCTCCGCTCGTACCGAGCGGCGAATGCGGCTCGCGCACATGTGCCGACGGAAGCCGCCTTGGACGGGGCGGCCGCCACGCTCCATCCATCACGAAGCTGAAGTTGAGGGATACCGGCTAATTACTTTGTCCGCGGACACGCGCGCCCGCCATCGTCGGCGTATAATACCACGCCTAATCTCGAAATGTGCTGACACTATACTCTCTTTCGTCCGCGATCGCGCGGTGGTGCCCGCGCCGGGTTTAATACACCTCGTTTACGCAATGTAATTCCGGTACGCGGAGTGAGCGTGTATAAATATTGATCCGGTTGCTGCAATGACTATCAACGGCGCTCTCACTGCGCCGCTCTATGACGTTGACACGCGACGAGGGACAGAGAGGGAGAGAGAGAGAGAGAGAGAGATTATCGGATTGTTGAGATTATCCCAGTAATCTTGAATAAAGATCCCCGGCTCGGTCGAGGCATTATCTGCCAGCGTAATTAGTTCCTTTGACCTACGCATTTTGCGCGCCTTATCGTTAAATCAACGCGAATAATTAGTTTTCTACATATAGACAAGCCAATCGAGAAAATAGATTTCCCAATGTACAATTGCGTATTACGCCGCTGCGCTTAAAAAAATTTTAAAAGTAATCTGTGTTACAAGAAAAAGAGATAACACATAATATTCATATCATAGCTTTCCGTAATGTTACGTTATTTTTGTTATCATTGCGTATTTGAAAATTAAATTAATAACTGCGGCGGAATGTGAACTACAGTCGACCGAATCGTTAAATAATTTCAACAAAAATTACCGCAGCATTAAAACGGTAGTATCGATAACGGCGGCGAGAGATAATAATTTAATTCGTTTTGTAATGAGATGAACATTTCTATGTGAAATATACACGAAGAAATACGAAATTCAATTTTAACCGCGTCAATTCTGATATAGCGCACTTGTGACAATTTAATCATAATAATTGATGGTTATATCGGAGTAATCTTTTAAATGCTATACTTGTGCTTTCCTCAATCGATGAAGACGACAAAAAAAAAATATATATATATAAGCGAAACTTACCCAAAACAGTGCCGACGTAGGAATGTGACGTATCGAAGGCTATCGGTCCGCTCGTGCTTTCGAAGGACACGTCCTTGCTGAATAGGCTCGCGTCGCGAAACAATCGTATCGTCCAGGATCTGTAAGATGAATTGCGATCGTTAAAGATCGGATCGAGAAAATTTTTTTGTGGCTCGAGCGGTGGACGGGGAGAGTAATTATCGGCGTTTCTCGCGTGCCATAATATCGGATCGCTTCGGGTCGTTACGCACAAGGCCGATAATCTGGTAATAACATGAATAAAGGAAAAGGAATCGCCAAAGCAAAGGAATAGGGAGATATTTATTGTGTGTATGCGTGCTATGATTACGAAAAACTGTATATCTTACTTAACTGGAGGAACTATTTCACTGAGGAATTATTTCGAGTTTTATTTTAAAGAGAGCTTCTGCCCCGAATATCTTTCCAACATCGATGGAGCAAAATACGGTGGATTCCTCGCGTAGCTATAAATGTTCAAAGTACGACGTTTTGCGCAGAAACAAAGGATTGTCGAAGGATTCCTGGGTACCGTGTTATATTATAGTACAGTTAGAACGTCGAGTTAAAATCCTCGAGCATGACCATCTCATCAGATTTATATATAAAAAAAAACATATTACTTTAACTGAAATATATATAAGCCGATATCGGCTCGTACAAGCTCTCCATACAGTACGTCGATTTGCTCGCGCACGAAAGAGGAAAATAACGCAAGTACAAATGTAGAGAATAAATATCTTGATTTCTCCACTGAGGCGTATTCGCAATATCACTCTCTCGAGCGATACTTTGTATGAAATGTCAGGTCAGTCTATATAAGTTCATGCATACTTATTATGCCGGTATATTTTAATCTGTATGGATAGAATAAAGAGGCTGTACCAGTAAAATGACAACAGCTAGATTATCGATGACGAAGGGATATGCATCGTTGATTTAAAAAACGAAAATAACCGTTCAAAAATAACGTTTCAAACCGTTGAAGTTGTATTAAAAGTACACATGCCAATAAATTTCAACGACACATTAAAGGGCCGACTTCCGTAAATGTATTAATATTTTCAATATTTAAAATTCAAATTCTCTCGAAATAATTCCTGCCGATAAGTAAATTGTGAATTTTCGCAATTGTGACGCTTATCGCCTCCTATTCCCGGCAAATGGACTCGCGGGATTGACCCGATATCATGGTGGATGTCGCCCACAATTTCAAGATACGACGTTCGAAACCTTCGAACCTCCAAAGACAGCTTAAACTCAAGACGAAACCATGTAACATCATACGGATCGAAGTGGCTTCTCACCACGAACGGATTCAGCGCTAAATATACACACGCTCTTTCGCTCCTGCAAGTGGCATTTACGTAACAAATCCGCCTTTAACGAGATCAAAGTCGGGTGAGATTGACGTTCGCGCCATCGAATCCCGCAGAGGAGAGTACGCAAAACGGATTAATATCACACGTTGACGTTCATCATCGAGACAGTCAATTATGACAAAGAGGCCACACGGCAGAAATAAATCAACCTCGAGCGATGTATGTATAAAATTTATTTTGCACATATGTATATATATACATATGTGCAAAAAACTGAGTCGACAAGGCACACAGGGGATA